GGGCTCCGGCTCTTTCCAGGGTCCCACCCAGCTCACTGACGTCACCTGTTGCCAGGAGCCAGGGAAGAGACCAACCAGGGCGTCCCACTCAGCTCCTGGCAACCAGTGATGTCACTGACTTGGGCGGGACACCGCACAGAGTGTCACAGGTTACTAAGAACTCTTTGCAACTTGGCATGCTCTGGCCATACAGGCACCTGCCACCTGCCGCCCCCCCACAATACCCAATGAGATGCCACCTCAGGCCACCACTTCAGGCTGCCTTATTATAGGGTTGGTCCTGCCTCTTGTTATGGTGACAACTGTAAAATGGATACATATTCTATATTTATGATTTGTAATGTTACCGGGACAGTTGGAGGGGATCCTAACCTTTTAGAGCTTCATCAAAAGGAAAACAACAATAAAGGTTTGGGCATTAGGAATTAGAAGTTGGGTTAGGGTAGACGGGGGGGTGATGAGTCTAGGGGTCAGGGTAACGTTCAATGTTAGTTTTAGAGTACATTTCGTTTTAGATTCTGAGACATAATTATTGCTGTGGCACCAGCACCACGTCGTACGCCCAGGTCAGTGTCGTCCCCAAATTTGAATTGGCATTAGACCGGAAACCAGCGGACGTACCTGACATCCCAGAGAGGCTCTTAGGAAAGACAGAACGCTGTCCGATATTGGGGCGGCCCCCGTCACCATAATTCGGACGCGTCCACCCATTGTTTCCTGTGGATATCATAGAGAATATATATATAATTAATGCTGCAAATATCGCCCAAAGGATAACATTCAAAATATTAACAACCACTTACAAAGCCATCCACAACTCCGCCCCCGGCTATATCTCTAACCTTTTCTCAAAGTATCACCCCATCCGTCCCCTCCGCTCCTCCCAAGACCACCTGCTCTCTAGCTCCCTCACCAATTATCCCATGCTTACCTCCAGGACTTGTCTAGAGTCTCTCCCATCCTCTGGAACTCTTTCCCCCAACCTGTCCGTCTATCTCCCACTCTGAAGGCCTTTCGGCGATCGCTAAAGACTCTTCTCTTCAGGGAAGCTTGTCCCACCTCGACCTAACCACTGAACAATCATGTTCTCTGACAATTCATTCCCACACAGCTACCTCCTAATGTATCACTGGCCCCTCCCCTTTTAGATTGTAAGCCCTCAGGGGCAGGGCCCTCCTTACCATCTTGTCTTGAATTGTATTGTGATTGTAATGTCCTCCTTATATTGTAAAGCGCTGCGCACACTGTTGGCGCTCTATAAATCCTGTATAATAATAATATTTATCCGTAAATGTCTTCATGTGATGTGGAAACATTTCTATGATCATACAGTATCTTTGATTGCTGGGAAACGTTTGAAACTGTCCTGTAAATGATAAATCCCCACCTCGGATCTCTCTTCTTCTCCCAAAAATATATCTGTATGAGTCAGTGAACTGACTTCTTCCACTTGCCCTCTACTTATACCTCCCTCGAATTTATCTGAATGAGACAATAAACTGACTCCTCCCACTTCCCGTCAACCATCTCCTTCGCCCAATGTATTAGAATGCTCCTTCCTCCTTCCCTCTTCTGTTTAGATGGAGGCATGAAGTTTCACCATCCAAAAACAAGCTGATGTGCTCCCTTTTGAAACCTCACGGTGACATTAACATATTAAAAGTGAATTTGTAAAAGAAAGATTTGATATAAATAGTAAATAAAGATAATAAGCCATCAGTTTAAAATGTGTATACAAAGTAAAATGAATCGATACCATGCCATTATTATTGCCCTTTAAAGGGCCTACAAACAGCACAAACAGCAGATGGCAAACGGCTGATGTGCATTGATCGACCTGCAAACTCTCTAATAATAGATCACTATACAAATATTTACATGTACAGATCAATCTTTTGACCTAGGAAGGTGCGGGGGCTTCTGAATGACTACATGAAAGCCATAATAGAGTGAATTTGTAAGTCTTTTGGATCCATCCTAGTCCATACATCTTACCCCAGGAGCCAGCCTTGGTCTTATCGGGGAGGTCCTACAAACACATAACTGTTACCCAGTCTACCAGCAGATTAAAGTTCTGTTATGTCTGTAGATCCTCACAGAAGGGAAACCATTTGGTCATTTGCATACCTCTGAGCTCCTACATATAATCAGGAATGTTTGGGAAGTTGTGGTTCGTTGGACTTATACAACTCCCGGCTCTTCTGTAGAAGTTAATAATCAGAAAACAGTATATAACAGCAGTTCCCCGACCCTGGAGGACCCCATTCCATATACAGGATCGTCTGAAAATACATTGTTCCCACATATCGCTACAGGAAAAGCCCCTGCTGCTGGAGCGTATGATACGCAGGAAAGTAGGTTCTGTACAGGAGACACCACTGACCTGGACCTTCTTGAATATCAGTTGGTCCCAGATGCTGTCTCTCCGGATGATTCCCTTCTTCACCTCAGCAAACTTGCAGGCCACAGCAAACTTCAGAAGGCGTTTCTTGAATGGCGTCTTAGCTCCACTTTGTATCTGGTGGGGTTTTCAATGCAATGTTTTATCAGTGAACCTTAGGTTACAGAGTTCTCCAGAAAGGACAGAAGGAGGAATAAAGGAGGTCAGAAGGTGGACTGAAGAAGCTCAGAAAAAGGACAAAAGGAGGATGGAAACATGTCAGAAAAAGTTCAGAAGGAAGACAGAAAGAGGTCAGAAGGAGGACTAAAATGGTCAGCAGAAGGACAAAAGGAATTGAGCAGAAAGTAGGTCATAAAAGTTCAAATTAAGTTCAGAAGGAGGTCAAAAGGAGGACAGAAGAAGAACAATAGAATGACAGAAAGAGTAGAGAAGAGGTCAGAAACAAAATAGGAGGTCAGATAAAGGACAGAGGGGTGACAGAAAAAGGTTAGAAGAAGTACAAAAGAGGTCAGCAGAAGTCAGGGGAAGGCTAGAAACAGGTAAGAGAAAGGTCAGAATGAGCTCAGAAGGAGGTCAAAATGAGGACAGTAGGAGGTTACAAAGAGGACAGAAGAAGAACAATAGAATGACAATTAGGAGGAAAGAGGTCCGAAACAGAATAGAAAGAGGTGAGAAGGAAGGCAGAAGGAGAACAAAAGGAGGTCATGCAGAAGACAGTGGCCACTGCCGCTAATACTGGCGTATATATTAACTGGCTGCCTTGAGCTACAATATATTCTCAGCAAATCTGAATACAGATTAGTGCGCTCAATAGCTCTTCAGAATACATTAAAGTCCTGCTAACACTTCAAGCTCCGATGAAGGGGGATTTCTTGGCCCTTGAAACACATTGGCTGCTTTCCTGCCATGAATTGATTTTATCATTAAAAGACACTGGGCTCTCAGACTTTTGTTTGTTTGATTGGCTGGGCTTGATGTGGATTCTCAATTCGTGTGACCACCTCTTGTTTAGAGGGGACCCTGTTTTGTGGGGAGCTGCCTAACCTGAGCCATCGGGCCAAAGTGATGACTTCATACACCTATTAAAAGCTGGTTTCCAGCTCCTCTACTTCACCTTTCATTGATATGGAGGCCAGGGGCGTATTTACCGTGAGGCAAAGTAGGCGTTTGCCTAGGGCGGCACCTTCCTGGGGGGCTCTAGTAAGGTGCCGAGGGCGGCCGAAGCTTGGCTTGCCTAGGGCAGCCAAATACATAAATACACCACTGATGGAGGCCCGAAGGAAGTCAGAAGAAGGACTAAAGAAGATCAGAAAATAGACAGAAGATGGACCAAAGTAAGTCAGAATGAAGACTAAAAAAGATCAGAAAATAAACAAAAGGAAGTCAAAAGATAGAACAAAGGAAGTCAGAACGAGGACTAAAGAAGATAAAAAAATAAACAGAGGAAGGACTGAAGGAAGTCAGAAGATGGACCAAAGTAAATCAGAATGAAGACTAAAGAAGATCGCAAAATAGACCGAAGAAAGTCAGGAGGACTAATGAGCATCATAAAATAGACTGAATGAGAACCAAAGGAAGTCAGAAGCAGGGCTAAAGAAGATCAGAGAATAGACAGAAGGAGGGGGACCGAAGGAAGTCAGAAGAAGGACAGAAGGAAGTTAGAAAAAGGACTAAAGAAGATCATAAAATATACAGAAGGAGGACCAAAGGAAGTCAGAAGGTGGACCGAAGGAAGTCAGAATAAAGACTAAACAAGGTCAGAAAATAGACAGAAGGAGGGGGACCAAAGGAAGCCAGAAGAGGGACAGAAGGAAGTCAGAATAAAGACTAAAGAAGATCAGAAAATAGACAGAAGGAGGGGGACCAAAGGAAGCCAGAAGAGGGACAGAAGGAAGTTAGAAGAAGGACTAAAGAAGATCAGAAAACAGACAGAAGGAGGACCAAAAGAAGCCAGAAGAGGGACAGAAGGAAGTTAGAAAAAGGACTAAAGAAGATCAGAAAACAGACAGAAGGAGGAACGAAGGAAGTCAGAATGAGACCTAAAGAAGATCAGATAATAGGAGGACCAAAGAAAGTCAGAAGAAGGTCCGAAGAAGATCAGAAAATAGACATAAGGAAGTCAGAAGAAAGACAGAAGTAAGTAAGGAGAAAGACTTAAGATCAGAAAATAGACAGAAGGAGGACCAAAGGAAGTCAGAAAGAAGGACAATAGCATTGTTGAAGGAGCTCAGAAGTGTCTCAATTAAACTAAAATGCAAGCTGAATGTGTAACTTGAAAATTCAAATGATTCCGTACCTTGTCGTAGATGCGGTTGAGCAGCCTTGGAACGGTGGGGAACACTGTCGGCCTCAGAACTTTCATATCATCTGTTAATATACGTATGTCCCCTTGGAAAAACCCTACTTTGGCTCCAGAACAGAAGACCACGGTCTGGGGAGATGAGGAAAGACGTGTCAGCAGGGAAGACACAGGCTGAAGGTTCATACAATGATAATATAAGCAACTGTTCTCTGAACCAAGCAATTCAATTCTCCATTGGCTGCTATGAACTGTTTTTTTTCTAAGTAAGGACTCGTGAGTGACATCTGTCACAATATGAAAATACTTTTCAAACCAGCTTATATCATTACATGTCATCTTGCTAAGTTCAGAACAGGAAGTAATGAGAAAAACCTCCAATGGGGACACAGACAAAAGCACAATTTTAGTAGACGGGGGAGGGGTTAGAACTTCTGCTGAGCTTTCAGTTCTTTTCTCTGCCTTCCGGTCCTAGAGACAACCACTCCTTTAATTTCTAATATGGGTGTCCCAGCCTCCCAGGCAGGGCCGGTGCTGCCACTAGGCAAACTAGGCAGCCGCCTATGACACACTGATGCCTAGGGTGCAGTCTTGACCACTCACCCCCCCCTACGGTGCCCCCCCTCTCTATTTCAAATTGCAAAAGCTAATGGCAGGCTGGCTATTGAACCCACCCACTGAGTAGAGGAGCGGAACTGAGACACAACTTTCTCACTCAAGTCCGCTCCTCTGCTCAGTGGGTGGTGTTTCAATAGCCAGTCTGCTATGGGCTATTTCAAATTAAAATAGCCAATAGCAGTCTGGCTATTGCTCCCGGCTGCTTACATTCACCTGTCGTCTGCGGAAGCTAGCAGGCAGGAGAATGGAGCCGCGCGGGAGGGGGGTGGGGTGCAAGTAGCTGGCCTTGCCTAGGGTGCAAAATAGTCTAGCGCCAGCCCTGCTCCCAGGGACAGGAAGTGAGGGGACATCTACCTAATGTGTCCAGAAACCAAAAGAACAATTTTGGCCTACATTAGGCTTTAAAGGAAAGGTTTGGCACCTATTTGCACAGAGACATCTCAACTAAGAAAATCTCCGTCTTCACTAAGGAGCTCTTCTCTTCATCCCATCTGATGATGACAGAAGACCTTTTATGAGAACAGAAGATCCTTTCCACTGACGACCCCAACCAGCAGCTACAAATAGCCTAATGCATGATGCCAAAAATAAAGCTTTTATTTAAGAAACAAAATTAAAAAATTCTTCAGCCCGGCTTTTGAAGCTTCTGGGAGACATCACAGCGTCTCACCTCTGCCTCCCGGGAATGCCGGGTGCCCAAAAATGAGATTGTGCTCCTGCACCCTGATCAGTAGATACCTTCTGAATATCACACAGTGATGATAGTGATATAAAAGAGCACAGAGAGTCCTTACCTGAACCACCCTCTCGAACATGTGGGCCATGGGCAGATAAGAGATCAGAACATCCGAGGTCATTGGAGCAAAGGTGCTCTGTACAGTACAAGAGAGGAGACAAGTCAGCGAACATTGTACAAATAGCCAAACACACTTCACCAGCTTACAGTTCAACAACATTGCCTAATACGACAGATCCTTGACCCTTGTACGCCCTGCACTGTAATCACTAAATATATCATTGTAGACTAAAAAAATGTATTACATATTTATAGCACTATATATTTTTTTTTGGAAAGCTGAAGACACTATAAATTGTAACTAAAAAAAAAGAAATACCACCATTTTATCCAGTTATTTGTTTAAATAAAAACAATGATAATAATCATCATCATAATAATAACATTACTATTATTAATAATAATATTTAAACAAATAATTGGATTAAATGGTGTGATTTTAAAAAAAAATTACACTGTAGTATCTCTGTCTTTAAAGAAAAAAAAAATGGCTCAATGATTGGTTATATATATATTAGGGCTAGTGATGATTACAATTTTTGTGTTCAATTAGTCGGAAAAATATTTAATCGATTAATCGATTAATTTCGATTGATTATAACGCACATACAGATCCAACTACATTGGCCTATACACATGCAGCACAGCAATGAAGTAATAAAATGAACTAGGATCACACTAATCCAGCACGTTATTAATCTCACGCGCCCCACTCAATATGGCCGCCGCTTGAGTGGGGCAACTCAGAATAATAACATGCTGGACTAGTGTGATCCTAGTTCATTTTATGACTTCATTGC